GTGATTGTTTTGAAGTTTCTCAGTAGAGGTCATGCCTGAGGATGCCATTGAAAGCGGACGGGCAGTCTACTACTAAGAACTCGGCTATCTTGGTTACCTCGTCAAAGTCACCCAATGTGACCGGGAGCGAGATCGTCCCTTTAGGGATTAGGTGATCTCCGATGAAACCATATAGAGGGATGGAGGCAGGCTTCAGATCGGCCTCATCTAGTTTCATTCTTTCGAAAGCTCGTTGGAACAGGATGTTCACAGCGCTTCTGTTATCCACTAACATTCTGTGGATGTCGCAACGCCCTATCTGGGGCGTGATGATGAGAGCATCGTCATGGGGATGATGCAATCAGACTGTGTCTTTTTCGGAGAAGGTAATTTCCTCCTCCCTACGAACCTTTAATGGTCGTGGCATCGTGTTCATTACACGGACGGGGTTGTGATCGGCTGCACGAGCATACCTCTCTTGGGCACCTCTCAAATTCCCTCCGAGGTGTGGTCCCCCAAAGATTATCCCTACACTGTAGATACCCTTACGATCATGATGCTTCTTACCCGGTTCCTCCCGATTTTTCTCCCGCACAGGAGTAGAGTTATCAACATACTCTTTGAAATGCCCTTGCTTAATGAGGTCTTCAATTGCTTGCTTAAGGTCCCCACACTCATCAGTGTGATGCTCATTCTCCTGATGGTAGCGACAGTACTTTTTACTGTTTCTGGCTGACGTGGGATTTTTCATTGGCTTAGGCTCCCCGAGTAGGGATTTTTCATCAGCTTAGGCTCCCCGAGTAGGGATTTTTCATCAGCTTAGGCTCCCAGAGTAGGGATTTTTCATTAGCTTAGGCTCCCTGAGTAAGCTGACCTCTTCTAACTTATCAAGAATAGCAAAGACAAATGCATTCAGATGAGTGTACTGACTCTTGTCGTGATCGCGACGAGGAACTGGGGCGTAAGATTTCTTGGGCTTATACCACTGCTTCTTTCATTTTCGCTAATCGTCATTAGCCCATCTACGATCAGCCCTCCTATTCTCCCCCCGACCAGGCACATTGCCCGAAGGACCGGGGTCGTGGCGGTTGAGCGTTGCCATAAAGTTTTCAATACAAAGGTATTTTTCTATAAGGCTGTCGAAGCGGGTGAGGGAAACATTGTCCTTAGATTGCAGCTCTTACCACAAGTCTGTCTGTGGATGAACTCCCGCGATGATGAGAGTCCGAACGAACTCTTCGGGAGTATAAGCTACCTTATGGAGCTCCTGATGGAACCTGTCAATATAAGATTAGAGAGGCTCACCCCTCTCTTGCCTTATGTTGTTGAGATAGCTTAGAGGCATCGAGAACTTTTTGTTCGCTTGGAAGTGTCTCAGAAATGTCAAGCTCATATGAGGCCACGACTGACTGAACCTGCTGGGAGCGACCTAAACCATTGCTTGGCATGAGAAGTCAGAGTGATTGCCAAGCAACGACATTTTTCCAAATCAAAGACTTGGTGGAGTTCCATCAGGTTGTTGAATTTGTATAAATGATCTTGCGGATCAAAATTTCCATCGAATGCTCGCATATCGGGTATTATGAATCTAGATAGGAGAGGGGCGGCTAACACAGCCGGAGAAAAGGGAGACGCCTCTGCGACCTGCCCTTGCTCATTTCGCTGAGCCTTTAACTAATCCAGGGCGTTGTAGTTCCTCAATTTGAGGCAGCGAAGCCATCTAAGGATCACTTTCCCCAACGCGGGTTCGACCCTTGTAGTTGCGGTTGAGGAAAGACTGTAGGTCGGATTCCTCCTCACCTCGGCCAGCAGTCCCTATCGCTCTTGACACATGCTGGCTAGAGTCGTGTGATGGCGTTGAATGGTCCGGGGAACCTTCCTGACCCCTGCGATGGCGCAAACCAACCTGCAGATGTTGGGAACTTCCCGCACGACGATGAACGAAGTTGTTATTTTGGCGATAATCAGAATCTCCCCTCATTGCACTTTTGTAGGAGTGCTCGTGCGACGTGGCACGGGACAGCTCGGGCCATGACATGTCACCGAGTCTTTGCACCATGTGTATTCTACCCGGGGTGTGGTCGGTGTTCACTGGTCCCTCGGAGCCTCTAGGCCAGTTGTTCGCCACCTGCTTTCCCTTTCTTTGACACTTGTAGTGCGCGCGGCAAGGGCTATTGCCCTTTTCCGCATTTTCATGCGACCTGCAGGCGTTTTTGGCGGTGGCACCGCCTCATCTGATTCAGGTGGCACGACCCAATCCAAGCGGTCCAACCTTTGGATGACCATTTGGAGAGTATTGTTGAACCTCTCCAAGTGGCTCATGACGATTGGATCAAGCCATGAGCTTGAAGGGATATCCCCCATGAGATTTTGTAGGACTGAGGGCATTTCGAGAGAAGTGTCCTCTTGTACCTAGGGGATCTCTTCCTCACCATGATTGGTTCGCTCAGATTCAAATCGATGAGCCATTTGCTGTAGTGGGACCGATTAGTCAGAGATTCTCCTGATGAAGAATAAGTACTAAATCAACTGTCCTTCTAGCGCTAAACTGTTGATGCTTGATTCTGACACCAACTAATCGCACGTAAAAAATGCTGAGCTGACTTAGAAGACACACGTGTATATATGGGGGTATTGAACTGATTAAGAGAAGAAGAACAATGTTTAAAGTGGTTCGGATGCTTAAATAAGCGAATCCTACGTCCACTGGTATTGTATTAATATATGAGATCAAGTCACATTCAGAGAGTTGATGTATAGCTTAGAGAATACAAGTAAATATATGAGTAAGAGAGAGAGAGAGGAGAGAGAGAGAGAGAGAGAGAAAATGTATGCTATTTCAAAGAAAAATTAGCTAATCCCACAAACGGGAGAGGAGCTCTCTATTTATAGTGGGATGAATTGAGGTAATAATTACTAAATCTGTGTAGTGGGTCAAGTTGCCATGCAAATCCTTCTTTATGTCCTGTTTTTTACCTGCTCGAGTGATTTCCTCGACTCGCGCAGAGATTTGGACACGTGGAACATTCCTAGCCTTTCATCACTCTGGCGCATACCTACTATACTTGGCAGGAGCATGCCATTCACGTCAGCATGCGACGTGGCTATTTAGATGTGGAAATTGAAGAGTGAATGAGAGAAAGGATTTTTGTTTTTAGATTAGGGAAAAATAAAGAGGAGTGAAAAAGACTATGGAGAAAGGAAGAAAAATAATTTTCTTTTCTCCTTTAATTTTTTTTTTTTTTTTTTTTGTTTCAATTTCAATTACTCTTTCACCCTACAAACATTTGAACTAGCGGAAAAGAGTTAACATTAACATAAATTTTACCAAATTACAATGATTTATTAATTATATTAAAAATAGGAAATTGGTAATTACGGTAAAGACAAGGGTTAACAGAAATTAGCCAAAATTTGGGGGGCGCTACTAATTAACAAACTTTCCCTATCCTATACTTTTATAACCATTTATTTATTTAAATACCGGACTACCCTTGTCACTAGCCTCCCAGAGGACAAAAAAAAAAGCACATTTTCTCTTTGGCGTGATTTCCTTGTGTTAGTGTGATTTTTGCTTTTAGCGTGACACAAAACTAGAAAAATCACGGAAAGTGTCATAAAAGAGAATCTAAGCCAAATTAATCTAACCTTCAACAATTCTAAATGGAATCAATCACAACAACATTCATAAAAATAGGAACAAAAACATTAACCAGATTTACCAAAGTTATAAAACTTTTAAACCTTAATTCTAAAACCTACCATTTATCTTAAATAATAATAAAAAATAAAATTATACTAACAAATTTGGTTCATTCTCCCCAACAAAGAATTGGTTGAAAGTCGTAATGTTACAAGCAAAATGGTTACCTTTAATTAATGTTCAAAAATCCAAAACAGCTCTAAAGAAATTTTTCTTACAAAAAAAGAGAGAGAAAGTGAAGAGTGTTAGGTTTTATATTAGGGTAAAATATAAAAGTTGTCATTTGGTGGTTAACTTATATGGGTAAAAGGATTGCTAACATGTATAACTAAATTATTCATAATAACATGTATATGCATTTACATATAAAATTCAATTAAAAACATAGGTTTGCTAACTTAAGTTCCTAATCAGTAATCACGATCAAAGTTAAAAAAGATCAACTATAACTAAATTATTCATCATTATCACACCCAAAAAAATTACAACATAAGTTTTTTCTCTGTATTTATGAGGAAGGTAAGATATTTTTGTTCTTACTTTGTTTTTTATAATATAATTTCTTTCAAATATTTAATTTTAATTTTTGAAACCTGACGGGTGGTTATTGTTATTCACCTGTTGAAACTCAAAGGGCATTTGAAAGTCCATTATCATACGTGGCAGTGCCAAATAACCAAACATTCAAGCCGTCCAATTCAGCCCAACACACTTTATAACCTTGCCAAATCGAGCTGGATACCAAGCCCATTAATGGATATTTGCTGGCAGTCCATTTGACAACATACTTTCAAATCATTTTTTTTTTTATAATTTAATTTAATAAAAAGTTAATAACATTTTATCACGAAAACATCCAAAAATTTATTATTATTAAATTTTAAGTATTAGAATAAATAATAAAATACATTTTAACAAATATTTATTAATTTCTGACACTATTATAATAAAATTTTATTATTATAAAAACTTCAATTTTTTTTTTATTATCGTATTAAACTGGGTGGCCTTTTCATCAGAAAGTCTTACCTGGGATGATTCATATAATTCATAGGAGATGCACCCGCGCCACGTCATGACAAATCTTACGTAACTCTTGTCTTGACATGCCTACTCTCACATGCTGGTCACCAAACATCATACACTAGGGTTAACTCATCTCCATTTTTAGCTTACGTGGAATATAACCACTGGTCTGTCTTCTAGTATTCGTAACAAGCACTCTCTGGAGAAGTTCTGGTTATTTTAATATTATATGTGGATTTACATCATAATTTTCCTTAATTTTTTTAATTAAAATTTGGTCTTTTATTTTCCACACAGAGCTCTTAGTTTTCAGCTGCTATCAATTTCGAAAGAAAACCTAGAGACCTGTTTAATTTTGCTTTATTTTGTTGTGAAATCGTGCAGAGAACTGTGAAAACGTTTCGTTTTGAGGCTTCTGTTGAATGTCAGGTGAGCGTTTGATCAATTTCTGACTTTTTTTCTTTAATTTTGATTCGCAATTCGTGTTGTTTGATAAATTTGAGATAATTGAGAATTTTAGATATAATGTTGTTGTTTCGTGAGTAATTTAGCTAGATTTGATTCGAATAGTTCGAGTATTTTTATCATTTGTTGAGCTTAATAGTGTTTATTGATATTATTTAACGAGTGAATTGTTGAGCTTAGTAGTATTTTCTCCTATTTTGCAGGTTCTAGCTTTTGTTGATATTGTCAGTAGGAACTATTGCTTTTGCTGCATGAATTTCACATTTTGATTTGATAATTTTCGCAATGCAATTAGTGTCAAGTGATAGTCATAACGAAGATGTTTCAGAAAGTGAACCTATCTTGTCTCAGTCTGAGAGTTTGCAAAGATCGGAAGAATCTTCTTCTGTATCTTCTTCTTCGTCGTCTTCGTCTGAAATTACAGCTGTTAGAGGGGATTGTGTTGTTGTTGCTGATGTACACGATCTTTATGTCGATGAAACTAGCCATCTGGTGAATGCCGACCAACCACAATGTCGTATATGTTTCGATATTGGAGGTCTTTACTCCCTATTTTTCTTGGTATTTTTTTTGTTTCTTATGTTTATTTCAGAACACTAACCATAAATATTGTTGTCTTGATGCACTTGTATTGGTAATTGTTTACTAATTTTCATTTTTTATATTTGTAGGAGAAGACTTGATTGCACCATGCAATTGTAGAGGCACTCAAAAGTATGTGCATAGATCATGTCTTGATCATTGGAGGTCAACTAAAGTGAGTACTGATTGAGAAACAAAAGATTGCTGTATTTGCTCTGAGGATTAATACTATTTTATCGCTTCCTTTGTTGTTTCAGGAAGGTTTTGCTTTTTCTCACTGTACAGAGTGCAGGGTAGCGTTCCTATTACGTGCTAATGTTCCAGCTGACCGCTGGTGGTTGAGATTGAAATTTCAGTTCCTTGTTGCTAGGGACCATGCATTCATTTTTATCGTTGTTCAGCTGGTAGGATAATGGGTGATTTAAGTTTCTGTATATCAATGTTTTGCTCTAGACAGTGTTTTAGTTGATAATTGGTTGTGCTAGCTATGATAAAAAATGAATGATATGACTTCTAATGTAGCACATGTTATATTGATTTTTCCCGACGGTCTATAGCGTACACAGTATTACTGTTGGAAATACTGTTATTATCATATGGAGTTTAGCAATTCCATTTATTTATTGGAGTTAGCATGCATTTATTGCCCTGTAAACATAATCCAGAGTTATGTAGCCACAATAGAAAGCATTCCTGTGGCTGATTAGTTTTGGATTGTCCTCTGGATAATTTCATAAATTACTGTAAATGGAAATCAATTAAGCAAGCAATCTCTTTTCACCTTTTTCCCCCTGAATGACCATTAAGATGCTAAAGGCAAGTGAGTAGTGGAGGTTGTATTCTAGTAAAAGTGTTACGATGTAGTGAGCTCTTATCTTGTCTAAAGTTTTTGTGAGTTAATAAGTAAACAAAAAGTCATACTGGAGATCATGCAAAAATCCAATAGAAATATAATATAGATTCAATATCAGAATATATCTTAATCTTGTCTAGGAGGGAAATTGTAAAAAGATTTTTTCTGTAAGTTTATGGGCATTTTTCCTCATTGTATTTGGTGCAAATCTTGTTGTGAACATTTACTCTGGAGCTTGAATTTATTTCTATTGTTTAACTAGAATAGTGTTAATTCTCCTTCTGGAAAATTTCCTGTGTTTTTCTTGTTGATATTTTATAGTTTTTAAAATTGTCAACCAACTGCTTAAATGCATTAATGAAAAGACTGTGGTAGCAAAATTTTCTTTCTTTCTAAGTAGCTAATTAATCCATTAATCATGTGAGAAACAAAATTTCTCACTATATTAGTAAAGTAAAAGTTATATAAGTTAAAATGATTGTTTTGGCGATAGAGTCAACAACTCAATGTAGCCAAAATCGAGGTTATATTTGAGGCAATATTTTTATCACAATGGACGGCCAGGGAAGCTGCATTAGATATAAAATGAAGTAAAAAGGTTTATATTTAGAGCTTATCAGGATTAGGTTGGTATGGTACGCATTCTCCAATTAAAGATGCAAAGTGCTATATGTTTATTTCTTAATATTTTAAGAACACTTCTGTTTCAATATTACTTTTTTTTTTCTCTCCTTCTTGAAGATCCATACGCTACTGTTAACATTTCGAAATCCTGAGTGTTTCTGTATGAATTTAATTTCTCGGTAAAAGGAATTTATCTATTAGGTAATTGTGCTAGACACTTTGCCTCTAATGTGAATTGATTTGTGAAGTCTGCCCTATTAGAATTTACATGCAACTTAATAGAACTCTTTACAGATTGTGGCATTGTTGGCGGTGCTGGTGTACAAATTTTATGGGGAGGAACTAAGAGAAATGTTTGGTTATGATGAGCATCCTTATGGGTTTTATATTATGGCTGGTATGTTTGCACCTCTTACTGATTTTTCTCTCTTTCTGCATCCAAACATATAGATGACACACGTAAGTTCACATGGGACAAAAATGCTTGATAGTGAATACCTCTTGTATAAATTATAGTTATTGTGTGTACATGTGTATGCACACATTTATGTATGTAAGAGTAAAATCAACTGTCTGTATATTTGTAACAAAATTCAGTGTTTGGCATAGTGTTTTTGCGCCAAACACGTCATCTATATTAATGATTGTTGTTGATTCACATATCTTTTTCCTTGTTGTTCCTCTTTTATTGGTTTTGGTTACAAGTACGTGAGGCTGTCAAAGAGTATTTTTATTATTTTCTTTTTTCTCTCTGACCAGAATGTAATCTGACACATGTTTTGAACGAGGAGCCACTGCCATGATCTTTTACCTTGTTTGGGATTCTGAGGAAAAAGATTTGACATTGAGTTTTTATTTTTCCTGTTTTTTTATTTTTTTTATTTTTAAAAGTCAGTGGACCAGCCTACACTGTACTATGGTTGAGAGTTCTAGTAGCCTGAAGGGTCAAGCTCATTGCTCTTTTTGGGCTTCTATGCACTAAAACTGCTTTGGTCATCTCTAACAGACTTGTCTTAGCTGTTGGCTGCACTATCTTAAGTGTATCAGATCTTTAGATTCGAGGAAAATAAATCCTGCTTGCAGTTTTTGTTACTGTGATATGTGTGGTCAAGAGTAGGGTTTTCAATTGGGAAAATGGTGGTTAGATTTTGTTTTAGCAAGTTGATAATCATGTATTACGGTTTCCATGGAGGCTTTGTGGTTGACTGGATAAATTTGATAAGACAAGGAAGAAAATTACATCACCATATATATTAATGTACTTGTTGATCTGAATCCAAGTTATATAATGGAATCTGTTGGAACCCTCCTGTAACACAGAAACTCACGGCAACCAACACACACACACACACAAGGCAATAGGCCAAAGTAATACGAATGGCAGATTGTATTAATAGATACTGAATGAAAGATCAGAACAAATGTAATTAGAAAACCGATAGATCCCAGCAATTCGAGGAGCTGGGAACCTCCCACCCAATTTCCAGAATATAAACTCTTTTCCCTACCCTCCACTCTCTCTCCCATTTATAATCTAGTTATTCCCTTCTGTAACAGAATTGACAGCCACCTATCCAGCCACCTGTCCAGACTCATAACAGACTCCAAAATCCTAACAACTTTTATTGCACACCTCAACCCCTGAAAACAAACTCATAACCAGCACCTCTTTATTCTTATTCCTTCTTTTGCCCTTGGATTTATAGACCTTATGTATGGGAGGTCTAACAATACCCGCCCCTCGAAGTACCACCTTGTCCTCAAGGTGAAATTGAGGAAATTGACTGTTTATCACATCAAAGGGTTCCCATGTGGCATCGAAAGTGGGCAGATCGTGCCATCGAATGAGAACCTCTGTAGTGCCATCTATAAGAGACCTCACATCCAGCACCTCAGCTGGCTGAACTTGCAGTTCCAAGTCCTCGGTGAGACAGGGAGGTAGAGGCTGTACAGGAACTGAGCTATGTAGGCTGTGTTTTAGCTGAGATACGTGAAAGACAGGGTGAATGCGGGCTGTTGGGGGTAGTTCTAACCTGTAAGCTACCCGACCGATTTTATCCAAGATTCGGAAAGGTCCATAGAACCTAGGACTCAGTTTTTCATTCAACCTTGTGGCCAGAGATTTAAATCTGTAAGGCTGTAGTCGAAGGTACACATGATCTCTTGGAGAGAACTGCACATTCTTGCGATGTCGGTCTGCTTGTGTTTTCATGTGATCTTGTGCTACTTCTAGGTTGTGTTTAAGGTCTTGCATGATGGCATTTCGCTCACTGATCTGTTGGTTTACTTCATCAACCTGGGAAGGGTAGTCTGTGAACTTCAGGAGAACCGGGGGGTCACGGCCATACAAGGCTTTGAACGGTGTCATCTTGGTAGAGCGATGATATGTCGTATTGTACCAAAATTCAGCCCATGGCAACCAATTCGGCCATTGACGGGGCTGTGAGCTACAAAACAGCGAAGATATGCCTCCACACACCTGTTTACCACTTCGGATTGACCATCCGTTTGAGGGTGATAAGCTGAGCTAAACTTCAAAGCTGTCCCGGATACCCTGAAAATCTCTTGCCAAAATTGACTCATGAAAAGTCTGTCTCTGTCGGTAATGATGGATTGAGGGAACCCGTGAAGCTTCACTATTTCTTTCATGAATATTAGGGCCACCTCCTTAGCGGTATAAGGGTGCGATAAGAGCAGAAAATGGCCATATTTGGTCAAGCGGTCAACTACAACCAGAATGGTATTGAACCCCTTGGCCCGTGGAAGTCCTCCAATGAAGTCCATTGTCAAGTCATCAAATGCTTGCATGGGTATTGGAAGAGGCTGAAGTAATCCGGCTGGTTTCAAAGCTGAGTGTTTATTGACTTGACATATGGTGCAGATTTTAACAAAGTTTTGGATATCCGTCTTCATGCCTACCCAATAAGCGATATTGGCTACCCTTTTATATGTTCGGAAGAAGCCAAAATGACCACCAGTTGGGCTGGAGTGAAATTCAGCAAGCAATTTCTGGATGAACCGAGAGCTTTTTGGCAGAACCAGTCTGTCCTTATACTATAAACAGCCATGGCGAAGTCTGTAGTTTGGTCGGCTATTGGGTGCTACAACCAAATCCTGAATCATCTGTCTAAGCTTGGGGTCTTGATGAGCTTCATTTGCCAACTCTTCAAATTCTGTAAACTGACTCATTGACAAGGATGATAATTCTGGTTCTTCTTCTCGTCGGGATAAAGCATCAGCAACCTTATTAGTGGTTCTTGGCCAGTAGTGAATATCGAACGAAAACCCCATTAATTTGGACACCCATTTTTGCTGTTCTGGGGTTTTAATCCGCTGATCTTTGAGGAACTGGAGGCTACGCTGGTCTGTGCGTATGATAAACTTCCTGCCCAATAGGTACGGACTCCATTTGTGTACCGCAAACACGACGGCCATTAACTCTCTTTCATAAACTGATTTCTATTTAGCTTGAGGGGAGAAGGCCTTACTTAGGTAAGCTACGGGCCTTTTGTTCTGAACTAAGACAGCCCCCATTCCGTAGCCCAAGGCGTCTGTGTGAATCTCGAATGGAGAGTTGAAATCCGGAGCTGCTAGAACAGGTACTGAAGTCATGGCATCTTTTAAGGTCTGAAAGGCCTGTTGTGCTTCTTGGTCCTAACTGAAAGAATTTTTCTTCAGTAGTTTTGTGAGTGGCTGGGCGATGCTGCCGTATCCCTTTACAAACCTGCGATAATAAACTGTTAATCCCAAAAAACCACGAAGACTCTTCACATTGGTGGGTGTGGGCCAAGAAACCATAGCGGCAATTTTCTGCGGATCTGCCTCGACCCCATTGGCTGAAATTAGGTGCCCCAGATATTCCAGCTTCTGATGTCCAAACAAACATTTTTTAAAATTTCCAACCAATTTGTTTTCATCCAGAATCCTAAAAGTGTGCCGCAGGTGCTTGATGTGGGATTCCAAGTCGGGGCTGTAAATCAGAATATCATCAAAAAAAACAAGCACAAACTTACGCAGAACTTGTTTAAATATGCTATTCATCAGAGACTGAAATGTCGAGGGAGCATTGGTCAAGCCGAACGGCATAACCAGAAACTCGTAGTGCCCGTCATGTGTTCGAAAGGCTGTCTTGGGAATATCTGTGTCCCTGATTCTGATCTGGTGGTATCCGGATCGAAGATCGAGTTTAGAGAAAATAGTTGCCTCTGCTAATTTATCCAGCAGCTCTTCAATGGTGGGAATTGGGAATTTGTCAGGAGTTGTTATGTCGTTAAGAGCCCTGTAGTCAACGCAAAACCTCCAACTTCCGTCTTTTTTCTTAACTAACAATACCGGGCTGGCGAACGGGCTGGTGCTGGGCTGAATGATACGGGCAGCTAACATTTCTTCCACCAACTTCTCAATCTCATATTTTTGAAAATAATTGTACCGATAAGGACGGATGTTAGGGACTGGTGCTCCTTCTTTAAGGTTTATGGCGTGGTCATGGGTACGGTGTGGAGGGAGTTTGGTGGGTTGGTCAAAAAGGTGTCTAAATTGATCTAAAACTGCTTGAACTCTTGGACTGACTTCTTCCTTTGTGGTCGTGACAACTCTCCCCAGTGAGTAACATTCCACCAGAATTCCTCCCCCATTGTGGTTGACGGTCCGAAACATGGACTTCAGGGAGACAACTGCCTTCACCAAGGAAGGGTCCCCTTGTAAACTAAATATGATCCCATCCACCTCAAAACTCATCGTCAACTTCTTCCAGTTAGCCCAGACGTTCCCTAATGAGCTCAACCATGTGATACCCAGAACGATGTCAGCTCCCCTGAGTTCAAAGGGAAAGAAATCCTGCTTAATCTGAATCCCTTGCACATCCAGAGTAATCTGCCGACATACCCCTTCTCCTTTCACAGTTACGCCATTTCCCACCATTACCCCAAACATTTTCCCTTTTTCTACTGCAATTCCAAGCCTTTCAACCAACTCCAGAGAAATAAAGTTGTGTGACGCCCCACTGTCAACCAACACCACCACCTCTGAACCCCTAATCTGACCCTTTACCTTCAAAGTCTTGTCTGACGTTAAACCCACGATGGAGTTCATGGACAGAGCTAAGTCGTTTCCCTCTTGACTGTGATTTTCTTCATTTTCTGGTGGGTTTTCGTTCTTCTCAGATTTGTCGTCATCTAACACCAGCAGTATCTGCAATGATTTGCTCCGACAGCAGTGATTGGGGCCAAATTTTTCGTCACATTGGAAGCACAACCCCCTTTCTCTCTTGTATTGGATATCGGCTTCAGACAAACGCCGGAAACCCCCTCGGAAACTCGCGTTGGCCATTTTCGGTGATCTCTCTTTCCTTTCGGGTGTGCGCGAAGATGCGATCTGGCTTGGATATGGAGGTTTTGTTGCGTTGGGCCACTAGGCGGGTCGGGTCGGGTCGGATCTGGGTTGCTGGGTGCTTTCGCTGGATTGGACCACCATGTGGGCCGATTTGGATTCGGGCTGTAGGAAACGCGTGAGTAGCCTTCCCTGGATCCTTGGGCCTTGAATGATTTGGGCCGACACTTATCCATGATCCAGTTTTTCTCCTCCACGCGATGGGCCTGCTCAATTACTTCTTGCAGTGAACTGGGCCTTAACACTCTCAGCTCAGCCCGTATTTCCTCTCTAAGCCCATTAATAAAAACTCCCATCAATATCTCTTCCCCTAAGTCCTTCAATGGTGCTGTATGGGACTCAAACTCCTCTCTATATTCAGTCACGGTGGAGTGTTGTTTCAGCGCCACCAGTGCCTCATGCGTAGAGCCTTGGAATGATGGCCGGAATCTGGTGATTAGAGCAGCCTTGAACTCATCCCATGTTTTGAAAGGTTCTCTCCCTTCCATCCATTGGTACCAATTCAATGCTCTACCCTCCATACAGACTGCCGCGGCTTCCACCATCTCTGATGATCCAAATTTATTGAGAGTGAAGTATCGATCGGCGCGAAAAGTCCAACCGAAGGGATCTTCTCCACTGAAAATTGGTAATTCCAGTTTCCGGCCTTTCTTCTCTTCCTTCCCACTTTCCCCGCTTGTTTCTTGTTCCGGTTCTCGGCCATTCCCGGATTCTGTTTTCTCGTCGTTGGAGTGAGGTCTCTCTTTTTCATGGTTTCGTTTCTCATCCCTCTCATCCCTCTCCTCTCTTAATCTCATCAATTCCCTCATCTCAATCAAGTACTCCTTAAGACTTCCCACATCTGTTTTTACTGAACTCATATCCTCCTGCACAGCCTTCATCTCTTTTTCCACGTTTTCCATTCTACCCTCCATCTTCGACTTGACCACTCCCTGCTCTAATACCAAACTGTTGGAACCCTCCTGTAACACAGAAACTCACGGCAACCAACACACACACACAAGGCAATAGGCCAAAGTAATACGAATGGCAGATTGTATTAATAGATACTGAATGAAAGAACAGAACAAATGCAATTAGAAAACCGATAGATCCCAGCAATTTGAGGAGCTGGGAACCTCCCACCCAATTTCCAGAATATAAACTCTTTTCCCTACCCTCCACTCTCTCTCCCATTTATAAGCTAGTTATTCCCTTCTGTAACAGAATTGACAGCCACCTGTCCAGCCACCTGTCCAGACTCATAACAGACTCCAAAATCCTAACAACTTTTATTGCACACCTCAACCCCTGAAAACAAACTCATACCCAGCACCTCTTTATTCTTATCCCTTCTTTTGCCCTTGGATTTATAGACCTTATGTATGGGAGGTCTAACAGAATCTAACAGCAAAAGATTGGACGTTTTAAGGAGATTTTTTGAAACATTAAAATAGCCTATTGAATTCTCTAGTAAACATTAATATAGCTAAACTTAAATTCACAAGTGATCACTAGACTAGGACATAGAGGAGAGACATGAATAATTACCTGTTCAGGAAGCTTTTACTGCAAGGGAAAATTGGGATGCCCCTAAATACTTTTTGAACAACACTTATTTTGTTATTGTTTAAAGAAAGTGAGTTGGTCTGGGACATGGGAGAGAGAAGAATTGTTTTGAAGAGAGAAGCACCAAAGGTAGGAGCACTTGGGGCTATGGCTTAAAAGGCAACAGCAGAACTGGAGTTGGATCATTCCTCATCAAACTTGGCAAAGCCATTAAATCAATAAATCAATATAAGATTGTGAGAGAAAGCATAAAAGTAGGCTAATTGATTAAGGCATCTAGTATAGGTCGGCAGTTCCTTGAAAAACCCTATGCGTGATGGCACAAACTTATTTGCTTTTAGTTGGAGCTTGGTATCATGTTTGACAACTGAATTCTTTGTGTTATAGAATTGTCATTAAATAGCAATAAAACATTTATCAGGAATTTCTTTCACCATTTGAACTCTTTTATTATCAGCTTTCTCATCAATCACCGATATAGTAGTTTTCAGATTAGAACATATATTAAGTTGTGGATCTCTTTTCTTCTCTTGTTTTTCCTTTCCCAGTTCTCTTAAGGTATTGCTTCATAATTTTTTTTCCCTGTTCTGTAAAAAAGGTTTATTCTATGCTTCATATGAGGTATTTTCTTTCTGCAATGACTTTCTCGAGGCATTGCTTCTTGTTGAGTTTAGTAAAAGGCCATACAACTGTAAAATATGACCAATTGTAACTTTTTCAGTTCTTGTCATCCAAAGTTAGACTAACTTGAGACTAACTTGATATTTTAGATGAGAATGACTCGGAAGTACTATGTATGATGATATTTATATCTTTTAGGTATGGATTTTTTAAATTAGAATGACATATTTTATGCTTTCTTGGAAGGTTTTCCTTGTACTTGAAATGACTCATCCAGGCCCTATTTCTTATTAGTTTTTCACACACATACCATAAATTCAGATTGAACTTCTCAATACTAACATGGACAATACTTTTGGTTGTGCTCATACTTAGCCTATGGTTCATGTGCTTGTCCCGTTATATTACATTAGTTCTGTAGTTTGTTTAACTCATTACAATACTTAATCAGTTTCCTCCAATATTTTAACTGGTGACCCTTATTTTGTCTTGTATGGTTTCGTCTTTTTGTTTTGTCTGAAAACTTGCACGAATGCATATACATGGCATGCACTTCTCATTATAGAACCTATTATATTGTTAAATGCTAATTTAAAGCTATATTATGTTGTTTTATTGTCAGGTTTAGCTATTGTTTTGGTGGGTTTGCTCTACGGTTTCTTCATAGCCATAATATGTGGACAGAGGATCAGTGAACGACACTACCATGTTCTGGCCAAACAAGAACTAACGAAGGTATCTTACATTTCCTAACAAAACAGGTTGGAAGTAGAACTTTATTGGGATATGCCCTCATTGGAACATGTATTGATTGTAGTTAAGTGAGAAAACAACTGGTTGTTCAGGTCTTAGGTTTCTGTTTTGGCAAAATGATTCTGTTTCCTAAATTTTAGAAAATTAGATTAACGTTCCATTTTAAAAAGCCTTTTTTATGTAAGTGGAAAAACCATTTTATAACTTCTGGAAAAAGGTGAGAACAATATTTAAGTTGTTCTCATCATTTTTTGAATTTATTTTTCAAAACCAGATAACATTTTTAAGTGATGTATACTCTTATTATTATTATTATTATTATTATTATTTTTTTTTTTGCAAGTGATTATAATATTATTTAGAGTTTAATAAGACATACATTAATTATCATTTTCAAAAGACGTTGAATGTATTTTAATTGTTTTTGTTTTAAAAAAATTATTTTTAGAAAATGATGCCGAATATATTTTCAGGATAATTCGTTTTCTGAAAACAAATTTGAAAAGCAATACTGATCGGGATTACTCTTTTGAGCAGTGACTTGGATTACTCTTTTGAGCAGTGACTTCCTGTAGTTAAGATATATCATCATAATATTTCAATTTTGTTGTGGGGTGGGATTATTCTTAAGTTTTAAAATAAGACTTCCCTACTATTCTGATTAGTTTGTGTTGTTTTCTTGACATGGAGGGTCTGTTGTTCCTATTTCCTGAATTTTCTTTATGGAGTCAGAATTTGTTGTGTGTTTTAATTCGTTAACCTCAAAGTAGTGAACTCTTAATATATCATTTCATTTGATGGATTCATGTATTTCATGATGTCAGGAATATGTGGTGGAGGACCGAGAAAATAATAAAAATATCCCGGAGCTTGATCAGAGCCATATCACAGAGCTAAGAATGTTAGGCCTTTATTAATGTGGAAGTATGTGCATTCTATGGTTCTTTATGTAAGCAGCTATAACTTCTGTGTGCTTACAGTTTTAAGCTGTTTATACTTTTTTGGCGTTTCTTTCTTTTTCCTTAGTATGCCTTTCCACTTCTGTCTAGATTAAAGGTGCACACACACACACATGCGCCAGGAAGGTTGAACAATCAAAACAGAACGAGGAAGAAACTATGTTTGTGTACACATGCGCATGTGTACACAAACATAGTTTCTTCCTCGTTCTGTTTTGATTGTTCAACCTTCCTGTTGATTGATACAAGATTCTCCGAATAAATTTCAAATTCTTTTTACAATTGTTGTGCCTTTGTTATATTCATTGTTACACCACACAAAAGCAGCGCCTGTGAACTCAACCCCCCTCGGTCAATGTCTTTTCTTGATTTAATGTTGGATGAAGTATGGAGAAGTGAACTGATGAACTTTCTCTGTCCCACAAACTTCTATATTTTGTTCTCTCAGTGATTTTTCCGTTCCCTGTTTTTCCTAGCCATTGATGTTTTAGATTAAAGCTTCTCGCATCCTCATGTTTTCTTTCATTATAATGTGAACTTATATTTCAATTTTCTTGGAAATTGAGTTAGGATATATGTCTATCTTGATGAGTTGATAGTAATTCAGTATTCATGTCTTTGTTACATCAGTGGAAGCTCCAAGATAGAGCTCTTCACTTGGTAATTATAATTGTTAATACCATTACTTTATATCCAACATCTCATCCAGGTTAACGGGATCTTCTGTCAGTCTGACACATACATGAACACGTGCATCTGCATGTGCATGTGCACAAACATTTAAGCCTAACGGAACCAAATGTATAGTGTTTTGGATTCATACACTGTTTGTGTGATTGTTGACTTTTCCAAATTGAGTTGTGGGATCCTGTTGCTACTACTGTTTTAATTTTATGGGTTTTGCATGCAGAACTACACATAATCTTAGATGAAATAAATGCATCATTGAAGCGATTTTATTAAATAACTCTTATGTTTACTTCAGGGTCATGATTTCCCCATACTAGGTGTCATTTCATATGGCATTGAGCGACAGTTTATAATTGGTCTTGTTCCCTCCAGAACTCGTATATCGAGCACCGCATGTCAAAGTTTCCATCAAACCGCACAGGCATAAGGAGTATATTTTTTTTCACCATCAAGTTATCAATGTTTGTTCTTAGATATCACTTTTATAGAAACGAAAAGCTTATAGAGTTACCCAAAATCATTTGTTTATACCTTTTGTGCATGATGCCATGTAATCTTTGTTTATTTTTTACATAGATGAAATTAGAGAAAGCTGAAATGCATAATTTTTTTTTTTTTTTGAATGTTTACCAAAATCTGTCTTTTTCTTCTTGTGTAACTTGTTGGTATTTCTTAATAAATTTGTTTAGACTTAGAGCGCAAGCGAAAAGTCTTCTAGTAAGACGGACTTCTGTGTAGCTGTTGAATCATGGCAAGTCATGTCAGTTATTTAAGTCTTTTTTGAAGTATATTCATTCAACGTAGAACTGATATACGGATTTTATAAAATGATTGTTCGATTTATTTTTGAATTATTGGTTACGAATTATGATTATGTCATGTTAATTTATATTTCTTTTTCTGTCATAAGAGTTGGGATTAAGGTGTAAAACCTAGTATCACTCTGTTCAATAATTATAAATTTATAATCATATGGAAAAGGTTATTCTTCTACGAAATATATGCCTTTTCATTTTATTATTAAAAGAATAGATAAGGAGAGTATGATAGAACAAAAATATTGATTTTAATAACACAGATTTTTGAAAAGTATTCAGACTTCCAAAAGATTAATTAAATTGTTGAAAACCTCTTTTAAATTATCAAAAACCTCATAATAAACTGTTTGTAATAATTTTTGAAAATATTAGTAATATCCATTAAATTAAATAGTTCTTTAGCAAATGGATGATAATATATAATGATACGAGAAAATCTAGACTACATCAGTGTTGACACCTTATATTGTTGATGTGGTACCACAAATCACTTGATAGTTGATTGATGCCTATTAAATTTATATAAAATAAAAACTAAATCACTTTTTAACACATTAACTCAGTTAAAAAGAAATCAAGCTTTAATAGAACACTTTATACTGATGACAATATTGCCGGAATTTGATAAAGTTTGGTCTCCATCAGAACGGGCCGGAATATTGCCAGAATCTCTCAACTAACTATTAGAACCACGACGAAAGAGGTGACAATAATGAGTGAATTTCAAAGTTTAGAAGTGTTGGTTCTCTCGTCAAAACAATTTGAATTTACCATTGCCCGCCAAAACCACTGTAACTGTAAATAACACTTGAGAAATATAAGGTCAGATTAAGCACGTGGAAATCCGAAGATATCAAACAGTAAGCAATACAATTTGTTGGAGAGGTTCCAGAATCAATTCCCAAATTCAAGGGGGCTCCACCGTTTGATCAATAATAAGCGTGGTTGTTCTATTTGAAGATGCAGTGTGGGTTTATGATGCAAAACTCTGCATCTTTAAGGTTGATATATAGAGTTGAGATAGCTTAAGCGACCTCGCGTGTTTCTCTTCCATGTGTGAAAGGTTTGTCTTCAATACTCTGTAGCTCTAGTTTACATGATGAACTTTAAATTTCTTATTAATTTGGAATAATAATTGATGTTTTACTGGAGAGAGAAAACAAGTGTTGGATTACTACTTTAAAACAAGACTTGCAGCTGAGGAGAAGCTAACTAACCCAATAATCAGGCAAGTAAAAGTGCAAAATCTGGTCACTTGTGCCACAGCTAAAACTATATCCTCTGCAACACAGTCCCATTTTGAATATCAAACTTTGTGGTGTAGCTCCTCTGGAATAATTGATGGTTTATTGGGCACAGAAAGGAAGAATTGGATTACTTCTTTACAAATCTTTGCAACGCAGACTTTAGAGTACAAGATACAAAGTCTATGCCATAATTAATTACCAACTGAAGGTTCATGCTGTCAAGATTAATCTGACTACTGATGATAAAGCAGAATGTATCACTGCAGGAGGTTGGCCTTCAAAAGGCTGCATATGCCTTGTCTAGCTTGTCTTCTGTACTAGTCACATAAAAGTGCAATACTGTCCAAAAGCTGTATCTACTGTGTTGTAAAGATTTGTAAATTGATTCCTTCCTTTCTCTGTTTAATAAACCATTCATTTAATCCAAATTACTACAAATTTTAGGTGTTCGTAAACTAGGCCGACAAGGTATTGAAGAAATGAGAGAAATAATCAAACCTTTGAAAATTGAGAAGGGATGGACCTCTAATGCAACTCTTTAAGTAGAGGGAACTCATGAAATGTTAATTGAAAGAATGGCTACTGGTTGTTGTACTATTAAACAAAGGAAATTAACAGAACATGTAAGTAATCAATCAATAACCTACATAACACAATTAAGTATATTCTCTTTTAGACTTTTACACGTGGTCTGATTAATATGTGACTTAAAAACATATCAGTTAAATTGATATGATCAAATAAAGAGTAAACGATATGTTCCCACCCAAAGACTAGCGAAATGGCAAGTGTAACACTCGGTTTCATTTATTCCAGATTCCCACATTTAAAATAACGCGTTAATGAGAGTTAAGTATTGACACAATTGCTCATAGTGTTATTACTAAATCATCCTTTCATCATCTTCTTCTTCATACCAGCCACTGTCACTGCCACCACCTCGTTGCACGATTTTTGCCCTTTTTTGACTGCTCCCACGTCGGAAATCTCTCTATGATCACCAATCATCTCACCGACCTCCCACCTCCAAAAGCCCTATCCTCCCCGACACCAATTGTCCACTGGTGTCGCCCCCACCATTTAGGATTTCGCCATTTGGAAGACTTGGGGTTTAAGATTTTTGAGTTTTTGATGGCTGTTTGGATTGGATTTTAATTGTGGAAGTGGTTTTGTTGTGTGTATTGATTGATTTCCGGTCGCCGGTGCTCACAATCTGCAACTTCGAAGGTTGGCACGCCAACTGTTCGAAGAAAGTCTAACAAAAAACTAAACTCACGTTCACATCCTTTAACACAAAAGCAAATCTGGACTTCAGATTCTTCAAAACAACATGAACACCATTAAACAACTACAAGCTTACAAATCATGATTAATGAAATAAAATCAAACAAAACACTTGTCTAACGAATAAAATACTAAACACCCATTTGAAAAAACCCCAGAACAAACCTAATGATAACCAAAACAATTGTCTAAAAGTTAATGGGAGAAGTGGTGACCGACTTGCGGCGGCAGAGGGAGGTCACGGGCGGCAAATGGTGATAGGGAGCTAATCTCCCATTCTCTGGCTATCCATAAAACCACGACACGCATCACATTATGCAATTTTACAAAATAATTTCCTCTTTTATCTTTTTCTTCTTCCAATAAACATGCATAAACAAGGATACCGATAATATAATATCCCTGGTCATATACTTCACTTCTATTAGAGTCATCCAAAAAACCCTCACCAATCAAACACTATCAAATCCTGTGTATTAATCTGAAAATCTTCTGGATATAAACTACAATATAAAAGACAAGATCTAATTTTGTCACTAGGCAAACTATCATAACTGACCTTTAAAAGAGGATACACTTTTGTCCCCATACCTGCAAATTTAGATGCTGAGTTCCTTAACAAATTAGCTGCATACCTCCATTCTTGAGGTGTCTTCTTGCAAGACATGGCTCGACTAACAGTTACCAGCGCAAGGGGTAGTCCACCACACTCTTTTGCTACAACTTTTGCTAATTGAGGAATATCAGGATTTGTAGATTCTCCTCAAACAATTTCCAAGCTTCCTCATCTCAAATACTCCACTTTGAAAGCCTTGTGAGCTTTCATCGAGCCGCAAACTTCAAAAAATCGAGTTGTGAACACTACTTTCGATCCAGATTTTGAGTTTGGGATAGGGACACCCACTTCAGTTAAATTAATCGGATCCAGTTCCATATATCATCCAACAATAAAACAAACTTCTTCTTACTCAATATCTTGAAGATATCCCCATCTTTCTCTTGAAGACTTCTATTCTTCCAAGACCCATCATTTAAACCTATCTTTTTCCCAATGTCTTCTTAAATCTTTTCAAAATTTGGAACTCTAGATACCACCACCCAAATCACAACATCAAAACCTTGAAGCTCATTGCAGAACTTATTGTTGATTTGTTTCAGTAAGGTTGTTTTGCCAACTCCCCCGGTGCCGTATATGCCAATGATTCCCACTTCTTCTTCGACGAGGTATTTCCAAACTTTATCAAATGTTGATTGCAACCCCCCTATTGTTGGCTGCATAGGTATCAAGTCCACAGCAGGCTCTGGTACTTCCTGAGCTACCATTTCGAAAGCTCCCTCATCCTTCAAATTAACCACATCTTGCAACTTATTGGTCACTTTCTTTCCAAACTCGTAGCTTGACTTGAAGTTCTTGGAACAGAAGCCTCATAGACATAATTTCTCAATTTCTTGAGAGCTGTCACGTAGCAATTCACCAACTTCAGTTTCCTCAGCTTCCACCCTTGAAAGCCACCCTTGCACTTGGCTCAGCCGTTTCGTTTGTGGACGTTGTTCAGCAATGTCAACCCTCCTCTTCACATCCGCCTTTGTGTCAAACAGTTTTTGCAATTCGTTCTTCAACGAATTAACATTGTCTGCAAGCTCACTTATGTATGCCACTTTTTTGGAAGTGCAATCTAGACAAGGAGGGAAAATGGCTTGACATGTGGCAGAGTCTGAGAACACGTTTCCCATTGATTTGAAAAAGAGGAAGAACAGGTTTTTTGATTTTGAGACTAGTTGTAATTAGGGTTCAAAGTGATTGATTGTTAAGAAAAATGTTCAAAATATAATGATTCATGAAGTGAGACAAAAGCAAAGCATTGTTTGATTTTTAACTTAACGGCCCACTTTTCTTTAATAAAGGTTTGTCTAAGGAGAATAATATGCTTATATATCAATCTCAGGAAAAAAATAAAAATTGAATTAATATTATATCATACTTCTTTTAAATTGATTTCTTTCCTTTCTCTGTCTAATCAACCTAAATTACGGTCGGGGGATGAACCTCTGATGCAGCTCTTTAACTAGACGAAACTCATAAAACTGATAACTAATATATTTGATTGGGAGGATAAATGGGTGAGTATGTTATATAAATTATTAAATTGCTCTCATTTTTAAATATTAATATAATATTAGTTATTATTTTTAAATCATTTTTTTAACCCCCTATATTTGAAATTTTGCTAAAAACCCTCAGTCATATAAAACTTTAATTTGTAGCATAATCATCCCCATCCACCCCAAGCCACTACTAGCAGCTAGCCACCATCGTCGGCTGTCGCCAACAGTAGAAGGAATGGCACACGACTGACCGTGCACCAGCAAAGCCATTTCCGGCCATGGATCGCAAATTTATGGCCATTTTACGGCCAAATCTATGGCCATTTTACGGCCAAATCTATGGCCATTTTACGGCCAAAGATGTGGCCGTGAAACGGCCAGATCTGTGGCTGTTTCACAGCCACATCTTTGGCTGCGAAACGCCATAGAAACGGCCAGGTCTGGTTGTTTTTGGCCATGAATCACATATCCATGGCTGGAAAAGGCCTTACTGGCACACGAGTAGATAGATCCTGCCAGTTGTGCACCATTATGACGATTGACACTGGTGGCCGACAGTGGTGAGTGACGGTCGGCGATGGTCTTGGGTGGCTGGGGATATTTTATTAACTTTTAAATTTTTTGTGGCTGGGGTGTTTTAGCTAATTTCTCAAATATAAAGGGTTTGGTAGACATTTTAGGGCAATTGTGTTTAAAATGGTTTTTAATTAAGGGCAAAATAGGTATAAAAATCAGATTATCCTGGTAATGTTTTAATCCCAGGGGTGGGAGAGGGAATCAGATTACCCGCTACATTACCAATAGTAAACACTATTTACAATAAAAGATTCAAGTAATATTTTATTACTTGCAAACCAAACATCGGAATCTTGCAAAATAAACGAAGATTATCCCTTTTATATTATATGCCCCCGATCCAAACGCACCCATATAACATAGTTATATTATATTATTATATTTGTAGCCATATTTCCCTATACCTTTTGAGCCTTTAATGCAAAAATAGACACAAAAAAGAGACATTATATTATTAATATATAACGTTAAAATCAATTTTTATTGGTGAGTTAAAAATGGAAAATGCTACGTTTACAACATTTCTCACAACCTTGATGTGGCAACTCGTCATTAATTAACTCGCAAATAGGCAGACGAGACCATACAAGCAGGCGAGACCCATTTTACAAACTAACCAAT